CAAAACATACTGAATAAATGACAAAACTAATTTGACAAGACGGCCATAATTAATTGTCAAAGTTCGGAAGTCCCTGTCGAAAGACGTTATTATCGCAGTTTTCTAGAAACCTTAAATTTTCAAAATGGAATACAGTCCATGTTACTCGCTGATAACGTAGTTTTCTATTGAAATAATTTTTGAAATCGATTAAATATGTGATAGAATTGCCTATACTTGATGAAAATCCATAACGTATTCAAATAACACTTCATTGTAAACTGTTTAGTGAAATTCTCCCAATAAAATGTTATTTGAACCGGTTGAATACTTTTTGAGTTCTTACAAATATTTTTTTTATAATATAAGTTTAGATTTAGATATTTTCATAAACAGTTAAACGAAGCACTGACACTGACACAATTTTGACAGGTGTCTATATAGTAAGACGAATCTCAGCGTGTCGTAACTTGAACTGATTTTTATGGCTTCTAGAAGTATTATCGACAAATTGATTTTCTTCTCTTGTATTTTCAATGACTTTCTTCACTATTCGGTTGCTGATACTAGAATTGGAAAATTATTCGCATTTGCAATCCAAAGTTTTTTCACCTTGTTGTTTGTTATTATAGTGATGTTATATAAAAACAGAGCCGTGTTATCGTTGATTGGAAGAGAAAGCCATGTCTCAAGCTGAAGACAAAGATTGGACCTGAATATTTTTCCAGAATACCAACCAATTATTGTATTTTTCCGAGAAACGGACCTAAACTAATGTTAATGTATTATCGTGGTCGCTTTTTGCATGCATATACATATTCAATGATACAATGCCACAGTCAGTTGTTTCATTTGCGTGGCTTGAATGCAAATTTGGTATGATTCGAGAAATTGATAACAAAGTAACAATACCTACTTACTCATCGAAACTGTAACTCTCTACATAAAATTTTCACTTTGGTATACACTGAACAACGATGTTCACCTTCGTCATAAATAAATATTTACACATGCTCATATGGTTCCACCATGAAACACGAATCGACTGTGTGGAAAAGTCGAAACTAAATGAAAACGCTGATGTAATGAACGCATGTACGAATTCAGTGGAGTTTAATTAGTAACTTATTAACATTATATGAGTAAGTAGGGATTGGTTAGCAGTACTTGTCACACTTTAATTTAGCCCTGGATAGTTAAAATAAAAATAGATTATTTTGTCGGCAGAAACAGAACCGGACTGAGGTAACCCATTCCTAAAATGGTTCGCCATTCAAAACGTAACATAGTGCAAATCTAGGAAATCATTTACATATTTTTTGGTTTGAGATTTTCTGCAATCTGAAACTGATTAAAAGTTGTTGGAAAAATTTTGAGACGTATGTGATGGCGGACTGCTAACTCTACCCAAAATGTTGCTACGTTGCAGATGTTTTTGAATCAAATTAATTTTTAATTTCATATCCGACATTGCTTTTGTATTCTTTTTTCACCTTTCCAAGAGTTCATTTTCCATTTGAATAATTTATTTTGAATAAAGCCATATTTATTTTTAGCTTAATGGTATTTTAATCGTATATACTTATACGATTGTTCACTATGACTCTGTCGTTGAATCTGGTCATTATTATGCATTGGTCAAAGACGAAACGGACTGGTTTAAGTTTGACGATATTCGTATCACTGAATATTCTGGCAATATCTTGAATTTATTGGAGCCTCTGGAGACAACTTACTTTTTATTCTATGAAAGAGAGGACATTGGCAGATCAAGATCTTCAGATGATGTGGTCCTGCAGGTTTTTTCAGGTTTTCCTGCAGCTGAAAAAGCAAATGCTCCACTGGAATTAATCAAGTCGCCCCAGAGCATCATGCCAATTAATTTTTGTTGTTGTCATGTTTTTGTCATAATTTCATAATTTGCATTACTTTCAATTAAACTGTTTTTCCTTATATTATTGCTTGATATTCTTTCGAAGTATTTTTTTGGAAAGTCACTATATCTATATGTTTAGAGTTTATGAATCTTTCACAATCTTAATAATAATCAAGTCTGCTGGAGTGTGATAAAGGTAAGCTGAGAAGATCATCCTGAAAATTGCAAAGTATAAATCCCTAGAGAGTCCAACTTGTAGTTATAATACAGTTTTTCAAATGGTACACCCTGTATTTTAGGATAGTTTTGAAATTCCGAGATGAGTTTGACTCATTTTCATGAAACACTCCTTATATCAAAAATCAACCGTTCACGAGATATTTGAGTTATTCTTTAAAAAATGAAACATGTGAATTGTCCACCATTAAACTACGGGCTGCGAAACATTCATTTCGATAAGTTACAGAAAGTTCATTAGAGCTATTAATTTGCCGTCATGGTTTTCATTGAAGACAGGCGTTCAGCTGATTAAATAGTGAATTAAAAATGTTTATTCTGAACGTTTCATAAAAGAGCGAAAAATAGAAAATATTGCAATGTCTTTTCACACAAAATATAAAAACAATTTCAAAATATGTTGGAAGTCTTCCGTTAACTTCCATCAGACATTAATTAACTCTCTTCATCAAATTGTTATTTACACCACGAAATATCGAACACTCAAAGTCCTTTTTTAAAAATCAATGCATTTAGTACAACAATAATTATTGAACAAAGGTACATCTTTATTATTACACGCTTCATATTAGCTTCACCTGTATGTATGTATGTTTGTAACTCTCAAGGTCGGGATCTGTATTTGACAGAATTATCGACATTATTGCTTGATCTATTCAAATATTAGTATTATTGTGAAAAAAGTGTGGGCGCTTTGTGCCATATTTTTTGTATATCAAGCGCCTGTCGCTTTTTTCACAGTACTACCAGTATTTTTCGTTCGTTATTTTAACTTTTTAGTTCGATGTTCTTTGAAAGAGTGTTTTTTAGTTTTTCAAACTATATTTATAGCAAGAAAGTTTGATAATGAATGCCGGCCAGTTCCCTAGAATCTTCGCAAGTCGTTTATCTCTCTATGTACGCTTTCCTAGACTCAGAATTCTTTCTATGGGAACCTGGGCGTTGGTTGATGTAATTCACGACTGATTTGATCGGCATCTAGGGGTTGAATGCTTGTAAAACTTTCCTAACCATATTCCCGTCACTTCAAAATGTAAAAATATACAGGGTGTTATATTTGAATTGAAGAAGTTGGTACCAACTTCCGGTATACACGAAAGTGTTGTAAAAACGCCCTTACTTTCATTCCATAAAGCATGTTGAAAAACTTATTTTTGCCAATTTTCATATATTTGTCTGAATTTGAAATGTATAAATTATTTTACTTAAGAACCCGAAAACATTAGGAAACAATTTTTGACTAACTTTTGAATGAGTTTCAAATTTTATCATTGTTGAAAATCGTTAGTTTCGGGAAAATTTGGTTTTGTGAGGTATCATGTTTTGTTTCAAATTCACATTCCAAATTACCAAAACATACTATTCTTCCGCACTAGCCCTGTGTTCAATTTATGAACACCATTCTGTGCAAGGATCCAGAATTCCAAGAACTAAAGACATTTTGTCCTGGCACATTGTGGATCCACATTACTCAATATATATTTAATTGTACAATATATGGATCGGATCAATCACATAAATGTAACGTGATGTGAGGATTTTTAGTGTATTGAAGATGAAATTAAAGTGTATATTATTTTGAAATATTGACTAATTCATAGATCATACCTTTAATCATTTAATCAAAGTATTACTTCAAAAATTATTTGTATTACGTCGATGTTACTTTCTTCAAAAAATATGTTGACAGTAGTATTCAATGACTTGTGTGTTTTATGTTCAAAATATGCAATTATGCCCTTTTCGAAAAAAAAAATGTCTTGATATTCATTTTTGCCAACTCTCTGGAATTATCAATATGAATATTTGATCTAACAAGCACCCATTACTATAAATATTGGTATAGGTATTGGTACAAGCTGAGCTCAAGTCAAAGCTCTGCTCGACCTCTAGACACCGCTATCTACAACTTCGAAATTTTACTATTAATTTTTTATGGGAATAAAACAGAAATACAGCATATGAGTGGAAAAGTAGTGAACGGACAAAGGCTAAAATTCTGTGAACCATAAAAAAACTACTGCTCTCTTCAAAGCGGTGAATTCAAGTTTGATGTAGGAGGATCCAGAGTCTAACCTGTGAACACATTATTCGTTTCATGACTGAAATCTTTCATATTTATGTAGATAATATACCCGAATCACGTTCTTGAAATTCCACAGCTTTTGCAGACAACGTGTCGACGACGTACCTCCCAAACAACTCCATGTTCACTTTCAAGGTGTTGTGAACTAGCACCATTCGATCGATCAAAGTCACAACTTTATGCCTCACTTCATTGAAAAAAGATTGATAGTCTGAATGCAGATTCTTACTTTCGGCCCTGTAGCTAACAATCCTATATTTAAATGTGCTGTTAATGATTTTCACACCATCGTCAAATTCAGTACACTTCAGTTCTATGCTCCAATGTTTTGAGATGTGAATTCATCCTATTCACAGGCCCCATTCTTTTTCAATAGTTGCACAATTCCTGAACTGCACTTGATTGGGCAGAATCTACTCTGGGTCGTTTTGTTGGAGGACCTTCATCATTATCCGTCCTGCAGGACTGCATTTGGTGAAGACGTATGTTATCTTTACGGCTGAAACGTTTACCACACCTATCACAGTGAAACATATTTGTAGGTGTATTCAATACGCGCGATATCCAACTGACTCCTGTGAATTAGTGGCACCTCTTTTATATGCTCATTCAAAAATTGGGGAAGAAAGGAAAATACATGAGCGCCCTCAAATTTACATCAGCAAAGTCACGTGATATTGCAGACGGTCACTCAAAGTAAAACTGATGACGCACTCAAAAAGTCTCTTCGTCCACGTGGCTGAACCATCTGCACCATCTGCTGAATCACAAACTGAGAAGGAAATTTACGGTCATATTTGAAATGAAATAATCGAGCAGTCGTTGCTGTTCATTAAATAATAATAATAATGTTTTATTGTCAAACATATATCTGTATTAATATATAACTGTTATACAAATGTATTTCAAACTAAATCCCATAGACATTGTATCGTGAAGTAGATGGCAACTACGATAGAAACTACTAATAATAAAATTAATGCTATTGAATAAAATAATCGATCTTCTGCTCCCTCAAGTTCTTTTTCCAATGATTTTTTTCCAATTATCCTTCGATTCTTGGTATAAGGAATGATGGCAACTAGAATTCCAGATATTATTATCCAAATACCAGCTTGGTAAAAAGCCTGCTCCCAACTATTCGTAACATCAAACAAATGCCCTGAAAAAAAAATTATCAAATAAAAATCTAAGCTTTTCGCTTAGACTTTTGAACCTGATAGTGATATTGTGTCAGGATTATAAGCAGATAATCAACATTCTTTCAATTTATTTGATAGACATGAAATATATCAATAGGAGTATATTTTATTGATACCCGTCTTTTGAATTCCGGTTGTTTCCCGCTTCCTTATTTTTAATAATTTCTATCTAATTTCTAGAATTGTATTTCGACTTTGTGAACTCATTCATAATAAAAGAAAATACGGCAAAACGCATGCATCGACTTGTTAAAAGTACGTTATTTTTTTCTATATATCGATTTATTAATAATAATCCATGACTTCAAACTAGACAATAATAAATTCCAATATTCAGAGGACCATTTTTGTGATATGCAAAATTGGACTACTAAAACCTTCGCAACATACCATAATTAGCCGTTTAACTGAACTTGAACAAGAAACAAATATAAGAAAGATACAACAGAACAAGAAAAAAAAAAAGTGAGATATAGACGTCACGATACGTTTTGTCATGAATTCGTACATCTTAATTGTTTTTCAAAATATGATTGCAAGTGGGTAAGTACGGCCCTAAAAACAAACGAAAAACATGTATCACTACGATTATTCGAGAAAATTCTGTAGGAGATAATAAACGGTACAAAGACTGATAAAGTTGAGAAAAAATGGGTATGAAGAATCCGTAGTGAAAAATGTTTGATTACAAAATACAAACCTGCGTAAGGTGGCCCGACTAATATTCCTATGCCCATACAGAGAAGTTGTAACCCATAGGCCACTGTGAATCTGTCGAGTGGGACCAATTCTACTATAATACCTGGTGTAAAAGAAAAACTGCTAGATAAAAATAAACCGAACATCCCTGCACATATCTCCAGCATAATGAAGTTAGTGGTGAAATACATAATCCCAGCACAAGATATTCCACATAGAACTAACGATATGGCGTAGGTTTTTGTAATATTCATCCATGGTTGATCACCAGCCCAGCCTAAAACTATCTAAAAAGCAAAGGAATGATATTCAATCAATGAAAGAATTTTTTTAAGCAATGAATAACAACGTTTTTATTTCATTTGTGAAAGTTTCAAAACAAATATATCCTAAACAAGGTCAAATATCGATGAAATGTTTGATTGAGTTGTTGAAAATTTCGTTCTCAATTGAAACCACTATTTTTTTATAAATCAGCAACAAAGTGTTTTTTTCAATTCAATAATGTACTCACCATCCCAATTGTATTTGTGATTCCTATGTTAGCAATAGTGAAGGATGCATCTTCATCAGTATATTCAAATTTTAGCATATGATCGGCCAAATAAAAATACGGCACTATAAACCAAACAAAAAGTATTATGGTTGATAGTGACAGCAAGAGAAAGTGTAGTTCTAAGAACAAGGAAAAATCGAGCATTCCCTTCACCAACTCTAGAAGCTCAGCATACCATTTCTATAAAATTATTTGAATTAGATAATAATTACATGAAAAAAAATATCGAAAGTGTCGTGAAAAACTTCTACTAAGATGGGTTTTCACATACGAAACGTTTTTTTAATATCAATATTTATTGTGGAAACTAACATAACACTCAAGAATTCGTTGTTTCAGGACACACTTCAATGAAGTTACAAAAAATATAGCAAGAGCCGTTATCATCTGCGAAGAATGACTAATTATCATTAAAGAATACGCCGCATTTCTAGTTAATACAACTACAGATGATCGTCTCTTCCTGTGTCTAAACTTGATATCACGATTTTGTTGGAAATTAGTTGAAGATTTGAAGAGAATCATAGAAGTAGAGTGTTCAATGGAAAAGGGTACAGTTGCCACCGTCCAATTGTGAAAGTAGTTACAAAAATATATGTATTCCAGAAAAATAGCTCATTTGAAATTTTATCCAACTGTGTATATTCTCAAGATACCAATTGCTTTTTCAAACACATCGGTGTTAAAATTGTAGGGGATGAAAAGTAAATTCTTCATGATGTGGTGAGTTTTGAACATTCAAATAAAGACAGTTGCGTATATTGAAATTAGCTAATAAAAATGTGTTACGCAAAAACCAATACATCGATTTCACTGTTCACTAATGTAATTAGAAATGATGAGAATGAATTTAAAAATATTCGAATATGCTTCAAGGTGTTTCAACATTCTGAAGATGAAGTAATAAGTGAGAGGTAAATTTGTTCAAGTCAAATAAGCAAAATACTCAAATTGATATCAGAGAGATGGGAGATTATCATTATCGTATGAATTTATTTTGGTTTTCTCATCAACACTTTCGATAAATTCTTTGAGTTCTACTGTAAAAAGACTCCATTACCTCATCATCCTTCTGCAAAGTCAATGCAGAAAGTCTATATATGTTGGGACAGCTGGATGCTTTGAATCTGTATTTATTTGTGCTGAAGGTCGCACCTCTGTGAATGAGAGACTGTCTGTGAAACCTGACATTCTTGAAATAATGCTGTCTTTGAGCTTGAACAAACTGTTGTTTGAGCCAAGGAAATGTTGCGTTTCTTTGAATTGCTGGCTCTTGAGTCTTTGAAACTTCATTTGGCAGTAAAGGTTCTTGTACTTCCAGGTGATCCTCCGTTGATATAGAGTTCTGAAAAATTAAACACTTTATAATTTCTTGTTTTCCTCTTAGAAAGAGGAATGAAAATCTCTGAGAAAGAATTCCGATTTTTAGTTTTGGAATATCATTGACTTTAGGTCGATGATGGTCACTATCTTGCACTGACGAGTGGCAAATGAGCCCAAAACCGGTCTGCAAGTGTGCCTGTTCCAAAATTGGAAGTCGACTCTTTCAACGCCCTTCGTGGTATTAGCCAGGGGGGTAGTTGTTTTCTGATAAACGTCAGTCATTTCAACCTACTGTGTAGGTATATCCGAGACTGCCTTGAACGTTTAAAGTTCATTTCTTTAGAAAACTTAAATGACTGAATTTTAATGAGGAAGCTTTTTTATCGATAGAAAAAATCCAACGAAAACACTTCCCGCGCACCACAACGTGCGTTTCAGCAACAAAGTTAGTGTAGATGACGCAAAGTTGGTTGGTGAAACTCACACGGAGAAAAGTGGATAAGTTTCGAATTGTGCGAATTATATACATGATGGAATAGGCCGATACTTGATGAAAATCCATTCGGGCGTGTCTTTACTAAAGACGAAACACGTGTTGCGTTTTTGTAAAATAGTTTAGTGAAAATCTCACAATAAAGTGTTTTTGGAATACGTTTGTGCGAATAATGTTTTCTTTACTTTCAGTTTTTCTTTCATTAATAGGAAGGATTACAAAAAAATGAACACAAAAGGGGTAAAAGCCGATATTAGAAACGCCCGTCCCAACAAAACACATTTTGACAGAATTAAAAAGGTAAACGTGGCAACAAAAGAGTTGGTACCGAATATTTGGGAACAAAATAAATAATTCAAAACGTTTAGTAGTAGATGGAATAAAAAAATATGAAAATTGTGTAATAAAATCAGGTATCAGATCAATATGATTCGAGTGAAAAGTGAGATGATCATTATAAGTGTGATGATGGAAAAGATAATTACTGGGAAAGATAATTAGATACTAAACTTGAGACGATAAAAATGCAATTTTGAAGCAAATCAAGGGTTTTGAGAGTAAATTTCAAAAAGATGCAGGATCACAACGACTTAAGAAAGAGGAAGAAATTAAAAAGTTAATGAACGTGATGTTACAAACAAAAAGTGGATGCTCAAAAAAAACAGGAAATGAAGTCAATCATATGAGAGTCAGAATTATACAGTGTCATCCCCAAAGTATGCACCATATGGAAAACTTATTTATTAAGGGTTTTTCGACAAAGTTATTCTTGATGAAAGTTTGTGCATTCCCTAAAACTAAACATGCACCAACAAAACATACGTAATATACGAGGAGCCTTCAAATATTTGATTTTGAGACAGGAGTGAAGTACTCTCATTTAAAAAAATCTCGGGAAATTTCATTTGAAAAAGTTGTTCAGCATTAAAAATTACATCTAGATTTGAAGTTATGGCCATTTAAGTGAAGTTTAATTTTTTTACCCAAAAAAAAATTTTGCTAAAACGATAAATAGACAGCATCCTGTATATGACGGTTCGTTTTGAAAGACTGTAATATTACAAATTACACAACTATGGTGTTAACCACGGTTGATTTTTTTGAAGAGTAAAAGTTTTTGGTGCAAAGTTATTTTTATTTTTTGTTAACACCGAAAATTACTCAAAATTATACAGTATTGTAACAAGAACTCAATATTCAATAATATCAAATAACAAAACATCAAAATAAAATAGGCATTTCGGAACAAACTCATTGATTTTCTGGAGATTCAACTTAAAACACTTATTTTGGACAAAAAAATCTCCAGGAAATCAATGAGTTTGTTCAGAAATACCTATTTTATTTTGATGTTTTGTGATTTGATATTATTGAATATTAAATTTTTGTTACAATACTGTATAATTTTGAGTAATTTTCGGTGATAAAAAAAATAACTGAACCAAAAACTTAAAAATTAATTTACTTTTCGGAAAAATTGACCGTGGTTAACACCATAGTTGTGTAATTTTTACTATTACAGGCTTTTAAAATGAACCGTCGTATACAAGACGCTGTATATTTATCGTTTTAGCAAAAATTTGTTTTTCGTAGTCTCCATTTAAAAAATGGGTAAAAAAATAAAACTTCACTTAGATGGCCATGACTTCCAATCTAGATGTATTTTTCAATGCTAAACAACTTTTCTAAATAACATTTCCCGAAATTTTTCAAAATAACAGTACTTTACTTTTGTCACAAAATCAAATATTTGAAGGCTCCTTTGGTGCATACTTTGGGGATGACACTGTACATATACCTACCAAGTAAAAATTGATAAATGTAAATTAATATAAATGATATTGGATAAGGAAAACTCATGACGTATTCAAAACACTTGAAAGTTTAATTCTTCGTGCGTCACAATAAAAAATTGAGAAATAAAAGGAGATGACCTTGAAAAAATTAAAAGATACGGTATTATCGACATAGTTTTATCATCAAAAGCAGTGATTTTTACATAAGAGGGAAAAATGATAGACTTGATCCAGTATCAGTCTCACTTATCCTTACAAATTCATTTAATAATTGTTATTTCGATACCTAATTTCTAGAAATTCGGTTGATGAATCTTCAGAAACATTGTTTGTTATTTTTATAGCTTTCTCTTTCACAGTAATGTTGCAAAATTCACGGAAAAACAGATATGAAAATATGTTCCACTTTTCAGACAGTCTCTAAGCCTATGGTGAGTGACAGATTAAGAAGCACCCACCTGTTGAACTAACTGTTTATTTTGCTTTTTCAATTTCATGCAAACTCTTACGGGCACCCTTTCAATGATTGATCCATCTTCAATTAATTTATTCAAACCAGTATCTGATGTACTCCTGCACAATAGCAAGCTCGGGTAGTTTTCTAAAATGATATTGTACAATTTTTTGTTGGAACTCAGTTGTTCAAGGACTTCTATTGGAACCTGGAAAATACATTTATAATCTTCATTTCAAAATAACTCTATACATACCATCTCATTTTGCTTGATGAATGTTGGGAGATTCAGCACTGAACTGTGACAAGTTTTAGATTTTTTATTTTCCGAGACTTGGTTTTCAATGGACGTTTTCAAATCTTGTAAGAGATAGTCGGCATCCTTGCCACTCTTGAGAACATCTTTCAACTCATTTATGTTGATAGAGTTCATAAAATTTGTCGACGAGAGCGAAACTAAGCTTGTTTTACTCGATTTACTCGATTTTGAATGCTTTGAATTCACCCTGAAAATAATCCTTTGAATAAGTTGCAAGGAAGTTAGACATACAAGAAATTTTACTTATTTTGCTCAACGATCCAATCTGGGTCTCTCATCAACATCCCGCAAACGCACATATTGAGAAAAAGTCCTCCTAAAATGAGTGTAGTACCTCTCCAGCCAAATTCGTGGATAAGTAAATTCGTCAGAGGAGCAAAGACGAAAGTACCAACGCCGGTACCTGATGCACCAATTCCTACAGCCAGCGTTCTCTTTTTGTCAAACCAGAAAGCTATAGAAACTACAGCTGTTACGTAGCACAGTCCCAAACCTAACCCGGATAGTGTGCCAAATGTTAAATACATTACTCCGATGGAGTTAACCTGGGAGCTGATTGTAAACCCAAATGCTGAGATTATTCCTCCCGCAATTGTCATAGAGCGGCAGCCATACTTGTCAACCAAAGCACTCATTATTGGTCCCGAAATAAGGGGAACTGCCATGAAAAGGCTTCCGATCCAAGAAGTTACAGAACTGGAAGCATTGAACTCATTTAAAAACTCAACGTAAAGTAGACCAAAGGAAAAACTAATTCCATCTGCTATCATGGAAAGTATAAACGAAGCAAAAACTACAATCCACCCCCATTCCCCGTCAGGTATGTTCGGCTTTTCAATGTCTTCGTCGGTACTGGAAGATGACGAAGTTATGGAGTAGTCCTTGAAAGTTACCTCATTTTTTTCAGGAAATATATGAACTATTGTATTCATTGCATTTTCGGCATTCCGCATCTCAACTTGTGTGCAATCTTTTGTTGGAGTCACGATTGGGGTAGCTTCTAGAGAAGGAGCCACTCCTGATAGGGTTGCCAGGGGTGCTTGCTCTCTCTTTTCCATTCTAACGACTTCAAAATGAACACAAAAAAGGATGCTGCTTTCTCAATTAATGGGAATCACAACCAGAATATATTGCTTGTGACTCTGCATCCAACGTTTAGACCAGCCTTGGAGCTGTTGTTTCGGATCTTTTCCCCTCTGCAGTTTCGTTTCGGAAGAAGTAAAGTGGATGGGGCCCGCGTGGCTGTTCATCAATAACATCCAGATATATACTTGACAAAAACGAACAAATACTTCTTTGGAAGTAAATCAAGGCTCAGAGGATGGTTTGTGCGGTATAGCGTTGCATTGTAACTTTTGGAGTTTTTGAGGGCGGCTGAAAAAAAAAGAATGATTATTTTGTTTCTTGTTTACAACTCACATTTTTCAATTTGTTCATCAGCAAATTGTTTGATCAATAAATATAACAATTAACCAGGCATTTGGCAATGATGGTGTTAATGAACACACTGTTCGTCTTTTGCAAAATTTCGTTCCGGAGATTTTAGCCTCAAAAATGAGTCCCGAAGTGGTCGACCTACAGTAATCCAGGGCGAGAATTTGAGTATCCCTATCACAAATTGGCGTGGAATGGCGGAAGAACTACTGGACGCCAGCTCCCATGCTGTTATTGATGGTTCAAAATGATTTGGAATGGCCAAAAAGCTCTAAAAGTGGGTGTCTCACGATTTGAACGATCGACAAAAATTGTCAGGTTGCAAGGTCTGTTCTTCTTTGCTTTTGCGCAACCATAACGATCCTTTTTTGGATCGGATCGTCAAGTTTGATGAAAAGTGGATTCTTTACGAAAAGAGGAGATGTTAAGGACAGTGGTTAGACACCAATGAGCCCAAGTGCTTCTCGAAGGCGAAAACCTACCAAAAAAGACCATGGTTAGTGTATGTTATTGTATGATGATCAGAGTCTGGTAGTATTCACTATAACTTTCTGCAACCGGGCCAAACCATCAAAGCAGAGTCCTATAATAAAAACATCTACGAAATATACCGAAAACGACGTCAGCGGCAGCTGACAGTGGTCCGATCCTACTCCACGACAACGCCCGTCCGCACGTTTCACAAATCACCGTCCGAAAATTGAACTAATTGAGCATCGAAGTTTTGTAGACCTCCCGCCAACCGACTTCCATCTTTTCAAGCACTTCGATAACTTTCTCACTCACAATTAAGTAACAACCGATTATTTTGCAGTAACACATACAAAAACTCAAGCACCAGCTGAAAAAATTGTTTTAATGAAATATAGGTTTCTGGTTGCAACTGAGTATTTGTTGAAACATTTGGGTGAGTTTCTATGTACCTAATGATGTGGTACGTTTGATGAAATTCAATAACTTTATTCAGTAACTAAAAATAAAACACTATTTGCTTCAATTCACTTTTAATCTTCTTCGCTTTTCTTGCCCTTGGAACTACTCTTCGAATTTAAAAAAAATCTGTCTAAAATCTGTTTAGAATCTGTTTTTCCGTTAACCAGCTGACGCACCCCTAGGAACGACAATCTTCAGAAGTCGAAACTTGTGCGAGCTAAGGACTAACGAGGTATTTCCTTTTAACGTGTGATTCCTAGCAAGGGGTTGGGCGATAGCAAGTGAAAATCGATCGTTCAGCCTGGGGCTTGAACCACCGACCAACACGGGGGTCGATTTGAGTGAGTGAACAAAGCACCCACGTCGAACCGACCGGCTATATACCGACCGACCACTAACACGACTCCTAACTAATCCTAATTCCTGGGACAAATTACTGTCGCTATATTATTGTTTATTAGATTTTATTTTTTAATTGAATGCCGTACGTCAAACAAAAAAACAAGGGACTGATAAGGAATAAGAATATGTTTCACTTTAGGAAAAAGCACATGGGCATCACTTATCTCTCTAAATAAAATAAAACATCTAAGCTCATACCCAAGTATGAGCTCATACTCAAGTATCCTGTAGTTCAAAAATATAGATCTTCATAACATATCTGTACATTTGGTTTGTTTTCAAAATTCAAGCAAGTTATTGAAACACCCTATATGAAGTTTTCAATCATAAATAAATATCAGCTGAATGCTCTGAGTGTGTCAAATCATAAATACAAAAGGTAATCAGTGATATGGCGACATTTGTTTGCAAACAAAATTCTGATTTTATTTTCAACCGAGTGGAACGGATAAATTCAGATAAAAAAACAACATCTTGGAAAGTTACCAGATTAAATTAAATATGGCGCGTCTGAACTTATAATAGGTATTCGGTGTTTGTGTGTTGAGAAGAGTTTCAAAATTAGAAAACTTGGTCTATTTTTAAGAAGCCTTACGTTAGACAAGCAGAAATAAATTAAGTATTTACCGTCAACATTTGGAAAATTTATCTTGATTTCGGTCAGAAGGAAATTTACTCTGAAACTTCTGATAAAATTTCTCACCCAATGACTTGTTTTCATTTTGGAAGTTGTCAGCAATTCAGGGGCTTCCACAATAACCTTCTACAGGAAGTGGAAGGTTTTTGGAGAACCAAACGGAATGAAAATTGAAGGTATCGTGAACATTGACTTTCCGATGGATCCAATTCTACCGAATTTATTTTCTGGTATACGATAATAGATACCTACTTAATTATTTAAAATGAACAAATGAACACCTCTTGTACCAGTGCAACTTTTGTTGTCTTATTTATAGTACCACTGCATTTGAATTATCAAATTTGATGACTTTTTATTTTGTGGATGAAAAATTAGTAAATATTTCTAGATTACTTATGATGCACTGGTTGGAACCTTTGGTGTAGTAATGAATAATACTGGTACATTAAAATGAAATTTGGTATAGGTAAACGGTATGTGAAGAGGAGAGTTTTCGCATATTTTTCCCGTTCCGAGCACTTCCGGTTTTACCGGAAATAGCTCCGGTCCTAAATTTTCAAATGGAACACTCTGTATATAGTAACATTTTTGGATCTCTGAAATAATTCTGATCAGAACATGACATATTCGAAAGTTTTTACGCCTGCTTAATGTTTTCAGATTCGCTTTTGAAATTGTATCTAGTTTGTCATGATCGGACGTAAATTAATCTAAAGACCTCAGGTGATATCAGAAAATTACAATCGCGGAGTTTCAGTGACTAGTATGTTAGATTTGAATAAGACAAGTTGGCAAAATTACATTTTTGTGTCTAACTATTATTTTTCAAATGGCGACCATTTTTTGACAAGCACTTTCCGAAAAAAGGATTTCTTGACGAATCTAACGTTACTAATTTATTTGCGATTGGATCAACAAAATTAACTAATAACTTCAGCGATGCACTTACTTTTTTGCAATATCCTAATCTCCTTAAAATTTCACTCTAGTAAATTTTCAAAGTGCATTCCTCCTTGTTCAAGACACATTTCAGCTCGTTGCCTGTAGAATCCTTTCTTTTATGATATTTCGAAAGTGGCTAGGGCTGTTGAATAGTATATCCTTTCTTTAACATATCCCCAAATGAAAAAATCTAGCACAGTCAGATCAGGTGAGCGGACAGGCCACAGAACTGGACCATTGGTTGCAATAACTTGATTATTAAAATGATATATTACCTAATCAAAAACGTCTCTGGTATCATAAGGGGGAGATCAATCTTGTTGGAAGTGACTTTGCCGTTAAACTGCTAAAGGTAGATTATTAAGATGATCCTTGATTTCATTTTGAAGAAAATCTAAGTAAATAACCCCTGTTGAACTTGAAACAATATTGGCCCAATTATTCTGTTTGTAACGATACCAGACATTAAGGACTCCCTATTAATGTCATGTTTCTTCTCGCAACAAAATCCTTTACTTGAAGCCCCACTCAATGATATCCGCTTTTCTCAATGCTACAGTCGGTATTTTTAAACTTTTCTGAAATGATGACTTGCACTATCCATCACATTCACAGAGTTAAATAAAATAATGTCTAACATTTGTTCAACATATTCTTCAAACCTATCTCCGTTCATGTCTTGATGGTTTTTAGAAATCTGTTTTTAAAATCTGTTTTTCCGTTAATCAGCTATCGCCCCCATACGAACGACAACTCTCAGAAGTTGAGAAACTTGTGCGAGCTAAGGACTAACGAGGTCTTACCTTTTACAGTGAGAATTTGGGAATGACCAGTCGCTTTCTTTCTCCAGAAGGCGACTTCAATCCGGTAGATCAGCCTTTTGCAAATGCCTGTCGTGAATGTTTTGTCTTGCCACATTTTTCAACGGTATATTTTTCGTTGAGATGAGTTTCGTCTAGATAATGATGTTTTCTGTTCTCACGTTGAAACTCTCTTATGTGCATCAGGTAATGACTTTCCCAGCAAATGGTTTCATCATTTTTTATCAAGAAATACTTTCTATTTTGTTTTTCCAGCTGAAATTTAATTGCTTTAAAGTTGTCCACTCGGTTTTCCACAATTCGAGAAATGCTTTGTCTTTTTTTCATGCCTCCCATTATTTTGTTGACGGTCGGTATTTCTTTCTTTCTGAAGATGATTTTGGTGATTTCACAGCTTTTTTTCTCTCATTCTTGAATTTATGGAAGATTTCGAAACTCTCATCATTTGGGAACACATTTCCACCAGAGTATCAATATTAATTTTTCCGTTGATAGAAAAACTACGTTTGCACATTCGTTTTACTGAAGAGAAAACTGCGTAGCCATTTTAATTCACACACTAAGTGTAATTTACTAATGACAGCACTGATTATGACGAAGGGGAATTTTATCATTATTTCATATTCTTCAAGTAATGAAGTGCCTAGTTGAGGCACTATTAGATCGGATCGAATTAATACTATCATCATTTCCAGCAGAATTAAAAATATCTCAGATATGCCTGATTTAATCAGGTAAGATGTTCAGATATTTGTTACATTAAAAAGTGCATTGTGTATTGCGGAGGAAGTAAAGGATGAGTTCCGAATTCATTGAAATTATGTGGAAAAAAAATTGAGGACTGTAATGTTGACTATTATAAGAACATGGAAGCTAATATTTTCAAGGAATGGTTTGAAAACACATTTATCCCAAATTTGGATATAATTTTAAAAAAAACTCCTTCACAAAAATGTGTAATAAATACCTCTCAAAGGCGTTTGAAAAAAACATTAAATGAACAATTTCGACGTGTAGTATTAAAATTCAATCAAGATTTGTTGCAGACATCAGTCTATTTGAAGAATTCCTTTATAAAATAGTCTGACGCATCAAACTCCGAGATTAAGGAACATCCTGTATTATGCCAAGTGCGACACACACACACACTACACTTCCCATAGTAAATTTCCATTCAAATAAAGCACACTGTACGTTGAACTTAGGTATATTTTGCTATAGAGATTTTATTAATAATATGAGACTTTAAATGTGCATCGATCGTATATGTAAAAACTGCATTCTTATCAGTTGTGATATTCTTATCATGCCGTGACATAACATTCTCACACCCTACCAAACGACAATCGATACTTTTCTACTAAGCTAAAAGCCTATAGGTCACAAAATACGAATCGATTGTTTTCATTGCCCATTTGTAATGAATGTACTGAAATCAGGTAAACTTACTTTGTTGTGCAGATAGCCAATACTCACTATATAATCAACTACAAAAAAAAAATTGTTATTGTTTTGATTATGGTTGAAATTTATGATCACGTTCGATGTATCTCCGTCTAGTGTCTAGCCTGAAACAAACTCAACGTAAACGTAAACCGCAACACTGAAATAACTTTCTGCGTGAAACAGGATTTAGTGTTTACTACCCAGTCAGTGCTGGATGGAGGGGATGGTGGGAGGATATGGACTTAAGGCAAATTTTACCTGATGCAAAACCTTTTCAATACGTGTAGTGAATAATGGGCAAATATTTAATCTTTTTGAAATGGTTCACTTGAGCTAGACTGCCATCAATTGTGTCAAACCGTGTATCGAAATTAGTCCGATCACCAGGGTCCCAATTCGATCGATCGAATACGTTCATTTTCTCTTAATGGTGGTAAGTTAGTATTACATGTGTTTTATGTTGTGCCCTGCTGTAGGCTAGTGCCTCTTCAGGGGCCGTGTCAATTAAAATAATAATAATAAAAGAGGCAAAACATTCGTCATAATAGTGACGTGTTGTAATGGAACAAAACTGATAGCTCATATGTATATCATAGAGTACTTCACTGAAGAGAGCACTCTTACTACCAATTTCCATATTATATTTGAAAATTTTGTATCAAGTTTGATATCCTAAATTTGCTCATTCATTGACTGTTAGGCGAAACGACCTTCTCCGGGTCCATTAGTACTTAACTGAGAATGATTTATTCTAGCTTTCTCGAAGTGTGTCTAGTGTATTATTTGGACAATTCATGATTGATTTTAAGCACAACGTTCAAAATTTTTAAGGCAGATATATATATTAGTGAGATTGTGATTCTTGAATAAATGAGTTTTGTATTTTTTTATAACATTGGTATCAATTGTCTGTTTGATATTCATAAACTATATTATTTCTAATGAAAAATACTTTGAATTCTATTATTGAGATCATTTGATGTTTAAGACAGTATTTCTCAATATAATTTATTTGAATATAAGTGGATCGTAGAGTTTTCCAAACAGTTTTGTTTCTCAAAGATGAATGGCAAATGTTACATATCCTGTTAGAATTGTTAGAGATTTATTTTAAGGGGGTGTTATTTTTGAGGAAGAATCATTTTGACTTTCTACTTCCACATCTTTTTACCAAACAATGTGAGGAACTTTTGGAGAAACAAAGAAATCAGATAACTTCGAAATGAACTCTTCACAAAGTTCTGTGAATCATGTAAAGAAGTAACTTTCAGACACAAACTGGAAGAAATAGTCCTCTCGTAACAGCTACTTGCGTGTAATTGTTGGAATTATAATTCCAACAATGAATATCCTCCATTGATATAAATACTTGGTAAGGAGCTGTTTGCCAGATTGAAACCATGATGAAAATATAATTTAAAGTATCACATGCTTTTTCACAACAAAATTGTTTTTCTTGTAAATATTTCAGATTTATCAAAAGTCATTAGTTACATCAAGCCATAGATCGATAATAAGTCGATGTTGAACACAGAATTGGATCAGTTTTGAATTAGTTTTTATTTTTCAGTTTGTGCTGCTAATGAAGCATGTTTTGTTAATATTTCAAACTGTTATTTATTTACGCACAAAAAAATATAAGTTTTTTCATAGTTGATACATATGGATCGACATAGCCAAGAATCTGAGACAAATTCAATCGAAACTTACACACCAGATCACAATGTTGAATTTAGATGAATCCTACGAGTGGATAAAACGAATTATAGTTTCAAATTTATACAACAAAATTTAAGGAGTATTCAAAAAACCTTGGTTAATTCAAAATTCTCCTTTATAACATTGACGTAGGCTTCGACTGTGTAATACTAACGAAAATTATAAAACTAATTGATATAAATTTGTATAAAATATCAATATATAACATGGTTTATAATCAGGGTGATTTTAATCAGAATGATGGAGTGGTGATATACATGCACTTTATTTCATCTCATCCATACTAAAATCTACATCTATCTTGAATTATCACTTTTCGATTTTCAGTTTCTATTTGTGAAAGCGGAATAAGTGACATATCACTTATCGCTTCCTCAATTGTTCTTTATTGTGCCTGAATCAAATCTTGTACCTTTATGAATATGAATTATTCAATGAATCTTATCATTATTACCTCTGGGTTCTCCGAGCACAATATGTGACAATTTTGCATGTTGACATAACCATCGAGTGAGAAATGAGTTCATAGCGGAAAAAAAAATATGCTCGAAAAATCAGCATTAAAAACTCGTTGGCTCTAGCTCTCAATAATTAGCATATCAACGGCGTTGTGAATGGTTTGTCGACTTTGATCGTGTATTACACTTTATATTGATGAAGGTGTAAATCCAAATGCAAAGTACACCATAATTCGATTATTCACTTCCACTAATAGAAGTGATATTTCCGCCAGTGCACACATTGCGACAATGCACAGGCCTGATCACATCTGTAATGCTTCCAGTCTCTTTGAACTCCTCTATAATGTTGGCAGTTCCTTGAACAGTGGGTCGATTATGATGACCATAATCATCCCGTTAGGCTCAAAAACTAGCCACATTTGAACCATCACAACTGTAGTAGGTTTTTAATATATTCACGCATTTCTGAATTGTTCACGATCCATACTATTATCCATATCGACCACCAAGTGATACATAATGTGAGGCACTATTCTCTCCATTTGCGAACACCATTGACTTTCTGCAAATTACTGATTTCAGTGCTGAAATTTCTATATTCGGCCAAATTCGGTGACTTCAATGTCCAGTATATCGAATGGCTTAAATGATGGAGAATATGCTTGTTTTTTGAATTTTCACTAATCCAGAAATTTACACAGTCACCGTAAGGTCTCCAATGGAATTTTCTGACCACAATTACATTTCAGTGTTGGAAAACAATCTAAGATGCGCAAAGTTTGTCATTAAGTCACTGAAGTTTTGGGAAAGGAAGTTTTTGGTTTTCTACGACTCCATCTTGATAAAAAAAAGAAATGTGTGAATGTTATGAAGGAAGGAATCAATCAATTGACTGAACCCATTCTATCATCCATGGATGCAAATATTCCGTTTCTAATGAAACGCTGTCGCCTCCAAAAGATCTCGCCTACCGGCAGTGGCACAAAAATCCCAGTGACGAAAACCAAACTTGGTTTTTTAATGCTCTCAAAGAAAGAGCGAAGAACTTCACAATCAGAGAATTAGGGATAAACTGCTTACCAATCCCAACGGGTCTATATGTTTCTAGTCGGTAGCTGTTACAAAATCTTAACAAAAGCTACAATTCCACCGCTAACACAAGCGGATGGTTCGATTGTAATAATATTGATACTAGCTGAACAATTCACCTTCCACTCCACAATCAATTTTTCCATCCTAGAATTCACAATGCCGAAAATTACTTGTCGACAACGTCTAGTCAGGTGAATTTTGAAACAGCTCAATATCAATAAGGTGTCTGGTCTTGATGAAGTGCCTGTCATCGCACTTAAAACTTCGCAAATGAATTCGCACCAGTATTTTGCAGACTTTTCAACCTATCTCACAAGAAAGGGGGTTTTCCTTCTCGTTGAAAGTTTGTTTGCGTTCAGCCTATTTCCAAACAAGGCTGAAAAAACTTTCAAATTACTATAGACCAGTCGCTCAGTTATCAGTGATTTTGAAAATTATGGAGAAAGCCGTGAACCACTATTTTTTCAAATATTTGGAAAGCTTCAACATCTTGAGTGATCATCAATATGAAAACAAAGATCACCAAGTGACCTTCTATCATATAATAATAATAATAATGTTTATTTTCCAACAATCTACAACGAGTATTAAAATAGTAGATAGAAATAGAACAGTGAATAAACATAATAAATCACTGAAGCTTGGAGCTTGTGTGTGATGATACCTTAATATAATAAACCATAAAATAGTGGTCATGAAGAAAAATAATGCATGTGCAAACATAATTTTCACTTATGTGCTTAGTTGAGTCTTTTTCAATTATATATTGATTCAGTCTAGTCCAGTTAAGTTTGACATATTCGAGTAATGGGGTTTCGTCTTAATTACTTCTAATACTTCTTTAGTGTATAGTCTCTTATTTGAGTAATAAGATTTGAATATCATGTAGCGTGGTCAGTGTTTTATAACAAAAATTTCAAGTCAATGAGATCATTAAAAAGTTCTCTCGGTGGTTGTTATCCACTTTTTGATATGATGCTTGAATGTTGTGAAACTTTTCGTGGTCTTTAAACTGTCCGTTAGTGAGTTGTACACCTTAGGGGCCAGAAATTCAACGGATCGTTGACCGATAGTTTTTTCTTGGTTTGGCACAATTGTGGATTGCTTTTTTGTTCGAGTGTCGTATGGATGTACAACGGGTTGTATTTTTTTTTTCATTTTTATGGATATTTGTCAATATTCGATAAAAGAACAACTGCCTTGTATCAAAAATAGAGTTCTCTGAGTATATCAATATTATCTCACGAGTAGTTTTAAGACACAAAAAACAATATATACAAAAATCAGGCATATGTAAATAACATTCATATAGTTAGCATACTATCATTTAAGAATTTCTGCAAGCTATAATAATGTTTTTCTACGAGACAGCTCTTCAAACGACATTTCATTGTTGAAATTGGAAGATTTCTTAGAGTGAGTGGAAATTTATTGTGAATGTTTATAATGCTATATTTGACACTTCTCTGTATGTATGTATAGTTGCATTTCTCATTTCTAAGATCATTCTTTGTTCTGGTGTTGTATAAGTGATCCTTTTCACAGTTAATGAAAAGTTCTGATTTGTTTTCTGTTACAAATACTACTGCTTCATATAT